ACACACACACACACACACACACACACACACACACACACACACACACACAGAGTATATGTTTTAAACAAACCATTTAATACTGGTACACAGCGATGATGATTATGAAGCTTGGTTGAGGTGGAGGAGTCAGAGGGTGGGATATTTCCAGGGAATGCCTTACTGCTAAATGATGAACTAGCAATTGGTTGAGCCCTCAAGGGTTAACTCTCACACTGTACTGTACAAGACAGCAGGAAAGGAGGGGGGGCAGACAGAGACAGAGACACACACCCTGTGTGTGTGTGTGTGTGTGAGAGAGAGAGATGTGCATTTCCCCTTTAAGTATGAAGAGTGGGGTCAGAAGTACACTGCCTTGTTAATTAGATCAGCAAGCTGAGACCGGACCGCAGCTGCTGCTGCCTGGAAGCTCCCTCTGTGGTGTGTCCTCCCTGCTGGAGAGCTGCAATTGCTAGCCTGCTGGCAGCTGCTGCACAGGGAACTTAGGGGTGCGGGGAGCTGATGGGGGGCTGTTGGTCCACCCTGGTTCCAAGCCCCCACCAGCTAACTCCACCGGGCTGCTCTCCCTGCAAGCAGTGGACAAAGCAGGCGGCTGCCAAACAACGTTAGAAGGGAGCATTTCACAACTTTAAATGAGCATGTTCCCTAATTGATCAGCAATGTAACAACGAAACAACGTTAACCGGGATGACTTTAAGTGAGGAGTTACTGCATTCACCTAAGAGTTGCTGAGCCTCTGCAAATCCCATTGACTGTTTTAAGTGATTACGATGTAATAAATCGAAACAGGGAGATTGACTTGCAGTTGTACTATTCAGCCACTGGATGTCTGTGTAGTACGTTGAAAGTCCCAGACAGACAGGGGTATCTGAAGCTGCTGAGGGAGCCGTGTTCTCTGATAAAGGCAGTGCTGCCAGCCCATCACAAGTTATGAGATTGAGATTAAAAAAAAAAAAGTTTAGGTTCCTTTTCTTTGCCTTTTGGGTTTTGAGCTTTTTGGGGTCACACCTTCAAGCTTTTCTCTGCAACCAGAACTAGAAACGTCGTCTTTTTTTTTTAATGAAAGCTGAGATCCACAGAATCACAGGACTCCCGGATCTTGGGCTTTAAGAAAAACTCCAGATATTATGAGACTCAGGATGAAAATTGCAAGAGCTGGCTGCACGGTAAATGGTGGTTCAAGGAGATCTGTGACTCTACAGCTTATGACTCAGACCACGCTGCCTTCCTTCTGCTGGTATAGGAAAAGGGTTGGGGGAAGGAGAAGGGAACTGGCAAAGCTACCGACTGCTTTAGATGGAAACCCAACTACTTAGATACTGTCCTTTTGTACGACTTTACCCTCCAAACAAAAGTGATAGCCAACTCTCCCTTCAGTGACTGAATACATAGTAGGCTACTCCCCAAAGGGAGCTTACCAAAAACCATGGGCTCAAGGTCCAAACGTAAGTGCTACAGGTAGGCACCTAAATCTATAGTTAGGCACCCACATAAATGGCCTGATTTTCAGAGGTGCTGAGCACGTGCAGTTCCCACTAAAGTAAAGGATGACTAAGTCAGAAGCTGGATATACCACCCAATTCTGTTTCCTAGCTACAAAGGGAAACAGGGAAAGACATTCAGGTGGAAGGCTTACAAACCACCCTAAACTCATCAGCGCAGAACTGCAAGTCATCAGGAATTAAGGACCCAAGATCCAAGCTGTCAGGTGAAGGGATTCTGGATATGAGGATGGGGATTTGGACTATTGGAAAAATAAATCTAGACACCGCCCACAGGTCCTAGCAGCACCGCTCCTGATGGACCCAGGATGGAGTTATCATGATGATCCTGGGCTTTGTCTTATTCTAAAGCTCAGAAGATTGATAGGAACAGGGCAAGGTGTGAAACAGCCGCCTGCCCCCACAGAAGCGAGAAGCATCCACCAGTAACTCTTGATCTCTGCGTACCCTGGAGCAGAACACAGGGTATTTTGAGCTGCAATGAGATCTCTGGATGACTCCACCTGAGACACAATGGCATTGGCACTGTCTTCTTGAGAGACCTCTCATGCTGGTCCCGGGGCTGGCCACCAAAAGGTCTTCTTGGCTTCTAGATGAAGAGCCAAGGAAATGGCTTGGTTTTTGAACAGCCCTATAGCCGGAAGGCCTGGGAGTTAATTGAAATTCAGCACCAACAGTAGCACTCACTGAGAACAGCACCCAGCTTTGCTATAGAGGAGGTAGGTTTGGATTTGACAGTTATCCATGCTTGACAAATCAGGTTCTGAGCAGTCATCAGATTGAGGAGGTTTGCAGCAGGGCTGGGAGCACAGGCCAGATCTCTGATGTGATGGAGCCATGTCTTTATCCACTGTGCCTCACTAAAAACAGGGTTCCAAATCCATGCACAGGTTCCACCACCTGTAAAATGGGGCTGCTTTGAAAGCTGCCAATGAGTAAGTGCTACAAAAGGGCAAAGTATTATTTTTAGGCCATTTTACAGATAGGAAAGCTCAAAGGCTCAACGACTTGCCTGCCCAGCACTGTGGTGGGTCAGACAGAATCTTACAAGCCCAAGTACCTTGTTTCTGATTCGAGGTCTCCCACTTATCAGCTCTGTGACGTAAGTCACCTACCCTTCATGTTCTCCTTCATTGATTTTTTCCTTGCAGATGCCCACTTACGGAGTCACATGTCTGGTCTTGCGAGTACCTAGAATGTTCCACGACAGTTTGGTCGCTAAGGAGTACGTGCCCTTTATGTCTGGGCCCAGCATTCTATATCAAATGCCTAACGGGACACCCCTAATACTCCACTTTCTCTTCTAGTGCCAGCAGTCCTGGAATGTGCTTCTTTTCCCTTCCTAACATCATCTCCTACTTGGTTGGGGGAGTTGCCATCGTACTGAGATTAGTCAGTCAGCAGTTGGAGTATCATCCCTAGTTCCTTAATCAGAACCCATGAGAAAAGACTGAGAAGAACAGAGGAAGGTGTATGGGACACAAGGATCTATACCAACAAGAACAAGTTAACAGCAAGAAACTCCTCTTCTTGGAGTATTACCTTTCTGCACGAAGATTAGCAGGTGGTAAGGTGCCTCAGATTTGTGACGTGACATGAGTTTAAACTGGATGTTATAGATTGAGTTGGAATTTCATAAGGTTATGTAATTAATGTGTCTTATTAGCATTTTTGTACCAGATATGGTTATCTTACATTTTGTGAAGCACCAAGAGTTCCCAGAGGATGGTATTGGGCAGTTGCTCTTCTCCTGCATGGTGTCATGCGGTTCTGGTCTGATGCTCTTCTTGTTCAACATGTGTATGGGGCAGTTGGGGGCGAGCGAGGAAACATGACTCATTATGATGATAACCAGCTGCATATTTCGATCTCTTTGCCTCTGTGGGTTGTGGTGGGTTGATTTACCCAGTATCTAAATGGAGACTGGGGCCTGGATGAGGGCTAGGCTGGCTGACACTCAGTCCATTTCAAATTGAGATAATGTCTAGAGATTGGGAGAAAGACTCAGATGAAAGAACAGAAATGATTCCAGTATCTCCAAGGGACTGGGAGCTCCCAATATTTGTTTCTAAGTTTTGCAAGATGGGGGTCTTGTGGAAACCTATTTGCAGCAGTTCCCAAGAATATTTCTTACCATCTACCCTTGGCAAGGAGGCTGTGTCTGTTTCTTTCAGATGTGGGACCTCACCTTGGTCCACCCATTCCTCTAGGCAAGATGACTATAATGTACTCTACCTGGGACTACACCTTCAGACCATGTAGAAATTGCATCTAGAGCACAGTGGGGCAACTTGTGTACTAAATGGTGTTTCACCCAGAGCACACATTTCTGAGTGCGGCTTCATGTTGTTTTTGGCTTAGAAATCCCTAAATGATCCAAGTCTTCTCGGCTTGAGCAACTGCCTCCCTCCTGATGCGACACCCCGGCAGTTGTGAGCTCATGCTGTCAGCCTCTGGGAGGACCTGGGAAGGGCTTGTGCCACGGTGTTCTTGGTGAGGGGTCCTGATCTCCAGAACTCATGTCCCTACATGGGTTGAGCCAAGCTACAATCTGGTGACCTAAAGGACATGCTATAAAACTCACTTGTTCTCCAAGGCTTTTCTTGGGATGGTGAGAAGAATGGGAGGAGACATTGATGGCTTCACTTCATTGCTATGGTTACAATCGCACCTACGTTAAGGCCAGAGCCATGTGATGGGGCCTTGCTGTAACTGAGAATATGGCCCCAAGAGTTCAAGGTAGGTGCACGCAGAATCAAAATAAAATCAAACATTCCTAGAAACAGAAGTGTTGGGGTCTTAGGATCCAAGGACATTCTGAGTGATATCGCATGGCAGTGAGAGTGAATCTAAATGTCCTTGGATTCAAGATACAGGAACCCAGAGTAGTTTTTCAGAAGCCTCAGGAGGGCCATAGGCTCCCTGTTCAAATAATGGAAGAGGGAAAAGGCGGAAGAGAAAAGCCTAGTCAGACCTGGAGAAAACACTACCTGCACCTGCAATGCTCGATTGCAAGGCCCTGACAGTGCCAAGCCAGCCCCAGAGCCAGGCCTCACTTAAGCCTTATTGACACGAGTGAACTATTACTGCTGCTTCTTGAGCCCATGAGGCTGAGGTTTCCTCTGACTTCTCTAGACTGCAAGGCAGATCTCAGACTTGAGGAACTCTCCTTAGATCTGAACTGGGGACCATTCATTGACTGTGGCCAAGGTAGCTGGAAAGTCTTTAGAGGATAACTTAGCCAGACCCTCGATGTTAGATTCGACCAATGGAGCCTCAAGAGCTTATTCTAAAAGGAAGAGCTGGAGACGGCTTCCTCTGGCTTTGCAGGCCTGAAGAATGAAGGCTGCACAAATCAAACACAACCTCAGGGAATGCCCCTGACAGACAAGTAAGGGATGGAACATGCTGATCTGGGTCCATATAAAGGGCAGCACTTAAAGCCAATCTTCTTACTGGTTCTAGCCATTGGAGAATATCAACATCCCAGTGATGAGTCTGAACGCACCCGGAAATGGAGGCAAAACCCTGCAATAAACAGCAATAACTGACCCTAGCTGCTATCCAGACGGTTCCAGACTTGCACACCGCAGTAGGTGGCTCTATACAGGAGAACAAGATGACGACATGTGGAGGAACCAGGTGTGCTATACCTAGACTGTAGGTGCAGAAGTCTGCCCCTCTTGGAGCTAATGGCTCAGAACTTTGAGCTCTGGAGCCCCCCCACCTGCCTTGTACTAGGAGCGTGGGCTTGCTCATACTTGCTAGTGAGGATCTGCTGCAGCAATCGGGGGACCTTTTTTAAAAAAAACAGTCACAAAATTCAAAAACAGCTGGGCAGGTTTTCTTGCAAATTTACTGAAAAAACTGTCTTTGGGCTGAGACGAAGTATGACAAATTTCAGAGCCAAAGAAAAACTGCTGAGGAAGTAATCAATGTCTAAAGTCAGCTTCCTAATGGGACAGCAACCTCAGCCTTCGGTATCACTGACAGCTCTGGTTATAATTTCCTTTGGCATTATATTTAGCCCCCCCCTTAAATATCTGTTCACAGCAGATGCATATCCTCTGATCATGAGCATCTGCTGGCTAACACATAGAGTGGATTCTACTATCTGGATATCTCTAACTCCATTAGAACTGGAGGAACCAGGGCTGGATCTACTCAGCGAGTGTCCAGTTGCTCTAAAACGTAGGCACCGCCCTCCTATATTCATTACCCCTTACTTCTGAAGTACCTCTAAAGTGGGGCCATCTCAGAGGTCAGAGAGTTGCAGCACTCCCATTCCACTGCCGCCTTTGCTTTCCTCACACACTGGCTCTCCTGCACTAATTCTGCAGCATCGCTTTTAGCCCGCCTCCTGCTCTCACACCCATGCCTGCCTCTCCACTCCCCCCAACCCTGCCATCCCACATGCCAGTCCTCTGTCCACCGGCACAACACAGCTGCAGCCCCTCCCTGAGGCAGGTCAGCACGGCTGCTACTACTGAGACATGCCAGATGTCCAGTTACACACCCCACTATTACTGCGACTACTTGACTCTCCTCACTGGCTTTCCAAAAAGACAATCCCCAAACCTGATGCACCCTTGGCTCAGGCCATCTGAGCAGTAACACAGCCCCAGAAGGAAACAGTTACCAAAGGAACCCCTGCCCGATTCCCAATGATTCAGAAGCTAATTTCTTTGTCAGTGATTCTGCCGTTTTTCAGTATTACTGGAAGCCATTTTAAATGGCCTCTGACTGTGAGAAAGACGACACTGCCGTGTGCATAGGAATCCTTACTTCCAAAACACGAGTGTCATTAATTAACTGTTTGATTTTTCCATCTCTTCTCCCAGATTTCTGGGTTTGGTGGATGTTGCTAGTTGTATATCTACTGAACCAAACAGCACAGCAACATGCAGTGTTGTACAAAATATTGTTTGATTTGATTTGTCATTGTACACCTCTACCCCGATATAACGCTGTCCTCGGGAGCCAAAAAATCTTAACGCATTATAGGTGAAACCGCGTTATATCGAACTTGCTTTGATCTGCCGGAGTGCGCAGCCCCGCCCCCTCCCCCCCCCGCAGCGCTGCTTTACCGCGTTATATTCAAATTCGTGTTATATCGGGTCGCGTTATATCGGGGTAGAGGTGTATAGAGCCAAAAGGAGATAAAAGTTAAAAAGAAATATCTGGTGCTCTTTAATTCTGACTTACTTTCCTGTGAAGTCCTTCGATCTCACCCTCAAGATGTTCTCTCTCTTCTCTGGTTTGGTTCTGAGTCTCTCCCAGAATCGATTCTAACTCTTCATTACGTTCAACCAAATCCTCGTGTTCCCGCTGCAGCTTCTGTAGCTTGTGCAGGAGCTGAAAATTCCTGCCCTCGATGTCGTCTATTACCTTTCGGCACCTAGACACCAATGACAAAGGATCACTGGTGCTATAATTGCTAAATTAACGTATAATCACACAACCAAAGCCATTACAATCCTTCATCCACCTGGCAGAGGCCAGCCACTGGATGGGGGTTTGGGGAGAGGACACAGGAAAGCACACAGGATCTCCAGAAGTATTTTATAAACTCCAGAGATGAGCCATGTCTGTCCTAGGTGATTGCAGGTTTGGACTCAGGTAACCTGGGACTCTGATAACCCCATTGCAGTCTCATCCCCAACATGACCCACCTTAGCCATCCCCTGCTGCACCTCAGCCCCATCCCCTGCTTGGCTACTCACACAGAGCCCTCTGTACTGGTGGGGGTGGCAAGGACCCACTGGCCAGGTGGGGGCAGCAGTGGCAGCAGCAGGCCATTCAGCTGCCCAAAGAGTGATGGAGACAAGCCAGGACCCTCCTTTCCCTGATGCATCCAAAGAGGAGCAGACGAGGTGGGACAGGCAGCAGGCCCCCCTCCTCTCTTAGCAGCTGCGGTGGCAGGGTCGGGAGAAATGAAGCTTTGACCCTCTAGAACAGTGCTTCTCAAAGCTGGTCCGCCGCTTGTGCAGGGAAAGCCCCTGGTGGGCCGGGCCAGTTTGTTTACCTGCCGCGTCCGCAGGTTCGGCCGATCGCGGCTCCCACTGGCAGTTCACCGCTCCAGGCCAATGGGGGCTGCAGGAAGGGCAGCCAGCACATCCCTCGGCCTGTGCCGCTTCCCGCAGCCCCCATTGGCCTAGAGGGGGGAACCGCGGCCAGTGGGAGCCACAATCGGCCAAACCTGCGGATGCGGCAGGTAAACAAACTGGCCCGGACTGCCAATGGCTTTCCCTGAACAAGCGGCTGCCCGACTTTGAGAAGTACTGCTCCAGAAGACCCCAGTCTGGGGGTCAGGGCCGGCTTCAAGCACCAGCGTTCGAAGCAGGTGCTTGGGGCAGCAATCTGCAAGGGGTGGCTGTCCGTGTGTTTTTGGCGCCCCAAGCAGCGCGCCGAATTGCCGCCGCGGACGGCGGGGGCAGTCCATGTGCCGTTAGGGCGGCACGTGTGTTTCCGCGGCAGCTTCTATGTTCAGCTGCCTGAGGCGGCAATTCGGCGGCTTCTGTCTTCTGGCTGAAGACAGAAGCTGCCGCCCAATTGCCGCCGCTGCGGAAACGCGCGTGCCGCCCTAAGGGCACATGGACTGTCCCCGCCGTCCATGGCGACAATTCAGCGCGCTGCTTGGGGCGGCAAAAACAGTAGAGCCGGCCCTGCTGGGGGTTTAACTTAAAAAGCAAAAGGCCTTGCTAGGAGTTTGCAACACAATATGGTAGCAAACAAATAAACGACAAGAAAGCAGCATGACTTTGGGATGCAGAAGGAAAATGTAGGCTGGATATCAGGGAAAACCCTCCTAACAGCCAAATGTATCAGACTATCGAGTCATTTTCCAAAGGATGTGCTGCAAGCCCCATTGCTTAAGAAATGTAACATGAGGCTGGAGAAAGCCATGGAGAACATGTTGGAGGGAAATCTCCTGCAACCCTGGGGGCTAGGGGCCAGCTGAGAGCTTTATTACCTCCAGTGTTTATGATTTATGAACAAATGAACAAAGCTAACATTAAAAGGTCTTTTAAAGCACTCAGTAAATGCTCCCACACCAGTGACATTAACATTGCAAGAAGGGAAATCTGCCCCTGGGAAAACAAGTGGGTTCTTGGACTGGGCTATATGGAAGCGACTGAGGAAGGACAATAGGAGGTAACAACTGAAAGGACAATTCTCATTGTCAAGATGGAAATTTTGAAGCGAACATGAATCAGATTCACTTGTGTTTTCAGTTTGAATTTGGTTAAAACTACAATGACTGAGCCATTCCCCTGGGCTTTCCGCATCATTCACCTTTTATGAACAGTCTCGTTATTCTGCTCTCTTCTTTCCTGACCTGAGTCAGTGTTGTCTATAGCACACTCTTCTTCAAACCTCGCTGGATCCTTTTTATCCTGCATCTAAAGAATATATTTAAAGTCAGCAGAGATTTAAGAAAAACATAAAAGAGAAATCTTGGAAATGGCTGAACCCAAGAGCATCCTAATGTATGTAACTTATATACATTAGAGAGGAAGCAGAATCCCACTAGGAGTGTAATGGAGCCAATCAGTTTACACTACTTGAGATTTGTTCTTAACTTTAAATGCATTCCTAAGCCCCATATGTCCTGAAGTCATATGTCTCCATATCACCGAGAGACTCTCACATTCTAGAACGGAAATACACAAAATTTGCCTAATTAGAATGAGAGCACAGTTGTGCTATATTCTTATTCGTGTTTTATGACTTAAGAGAAGAATAAATTTTAAACAATTTCTCAAACAGAAACCTGAAAATCAGCTGTTGAAAATACCTGCAGTGAGCAACATGCATTTTCTTCTGTTTCATCCATTCCAGGCAATACAAGTCCCGGTTTCTCATTCTTTTGATACTCACAAATCTCTTCTTTGAGCTTTTCAACCTTTAAAGGCAAAAACAGGCCCTTGTATTTTCATGGTACCTTTGTCTGGCCATCTGAAGCCACTTTACCATTCGCAGCAAATCAGGAAAAGGAGAACAGCCCAAATAATTATCCATAACAAGGGTCTGAAAAGCACATTATGCAAAATTAAGAACACTGTTTTAATCAAAAATATTCTAAGCTAATACCACACCAATTGAAATAAATAGTCCAAAATCTTCAACATACAAGTAAAAATGTTTTCTCAAATTCCTAGGAAATCATGACAGCAATTCTCACTGCAGCAGGTTGAAGATTAAATCAAAATAGTGGATAAGAGGTGGAGCAACAAGGCACACTGGGGACCAGGGGACCTGGCAGACTGAGGGGGTGTGCGGCAGTAGCAGTTATCTGGTTCTAGGGAGCGCAACTCAGATTCTTTAGCAATGGGCTGGTTGATCCTGGTATGTTGAGAGAAAATGGCCAACTTTTATTATCTGTCCCACTGGTGTCCTCTGAGGCCCTTTTTCAGGGGCCTAATGGAGCAACTGGAAGAAGTGACCCAAACCTTCAGCTCATACTGCTTAATGAACAGCAGGAAAGCCACCATCTGTGATTTAGGCCTGGATTTGGTTCCAAGCCTTGCACTAATTCATAGAGTTTTAAGACCAGAAGGGATCTCACAGGCCAGAGAATTTCACCCAGTCATTCCTGCATCATGCCCATATCTTGCGATTGAGCCAGAGCATATTTTGTAGAATGTGTTCCCAAGATCTGGTTGAACAGCTAGATATTTGCTTCAATGTGATCTAAGGGAGAGGGATATAACTGTGCTCTTTGCAGGTTACCTCAAAAGGTAGGAGATGCCACACCAAGGATGGATTCATTTGAATGTGTCCATCTGGCATGTGAGTTTCAGCATAAAATTGATCTAGGAATTCTGGTAGTACACAAACAATCCTGCTATTCTGCACAATTCCTATCTGAGCCTAAGGAGCTATTTTCCTGTTAATACATAATAAAATATAATAAATAATAATAATAGTGGGAACAGACCAGTGTCCAACAACAGCAGCTCTTGCACAGGATGGTGAGTCCCATGCGGGGGATGGCCCATGGGCACCTGGTCTAGAACTATGTAAAATGGGCCCCGCAGATGACCCAGACGTGTTCCTCTGCATGTTCGAGCGGATAACCATTGGGTTTGGATGGGATAGGGCAACCTGGGTCCTGACGCTCGCTCCCTACCTCACCGGAGAAGTTCAAGTGGCCTACATGGCCCTGAGCGAAGCACAGGCCAGGAACTATGACGCGATTAAGGAGGCCGTCCTGGATTGGGTGGGGCTGTTTTCCGAGAAGTACCGACAGTTCTGTTCGGCAAGGTGGACGGGGGGGGGGGGCGGGGTTGCGGCCCCTACTGCAACTTGAGACCATTGCTTCTTGTTCTGTTCAGAGAGTGGAAGGAGAGGGGTAGCTCTCCCCTCCTGGGTGGAAGAAGAGAAGCCCTTAAGGCTGGAACCCCCAGTGATATGTGGTGAGAGGTGGTGGGTTTGTACTGTATAAATAAACCGCACCGGTGACTGCTGAGCCAGAAGGTCTCTGAGTGATTTTTGGAACAGAGCAGAGGTGGGACCAAGGGGGGCCCTGCTATGCCCTGTTACACTCCCCCACGACAAAATGCCAGGCAGATCGCTCCTCGGCCTCGTGGGTACTACCTGCCCTTCATATCCAACTTTGCTACCATTGTGATGCCCATGACAGACCTGGTAAAGATCACCAGCCCAAGGAAGGTCCCATGGTCAGTGGCTTGTGAGGGCCTTGCAGGAGCTAAAGGAGCAACTGAGCCGAGAATCTGTGCTCATCCACTCTGACTTCACCAAGAAGTTTACACTCCAAACAGAGGCCTCCAAAGTGGGTCTGGGCACAGTGCTATCCAAAGACACTGATGGGGAAGAATATCCCCATAGTGTCCCTCAGCAGGAAGTTGTTCCCATGAGAAACCACCTACTCGGTTATTGAGAAGGAGGCCCTAGCAGTGAAATGGGCTGTGGAGGCTTTAAGAATTACTAGTTGGGGAATGCCTGTCAGCTAGTGACTGACCATGTGCCGCTATGGTGGCTGGACACCATGACAAATACCAACTTTCACTCTATGCATCCGAAGAAGTGAGGTTTTTACTCACGAAAGCTTATGCCCAAATAAATCTGTTAGTCTTTAAGGTGCCACCAGACTCCTTGTTGTTTGTGTAGATACAGACTAACACGGCTACCCCCTGATACTTGACACCAACTGCAGTGGTACCTCTCCTTGCAGCCGTACAGCTTAGAAATCTTTCACTGAACAGGGAAGGATCACAAAAACACCAATTTTTTCTTGAGAGATGGGGGGGGGGGGGTCCAAGAACCACAGAACCATGTATAAACCCCTCACTGGACAGGAAGGGGTTAAGGAGCAAGTCTGGTCTCAGGAGGTTCCGCCTTTCCACCCGTGCCAAGCATGCTCAGATTGGAGGTGGGGTTTAAAAGGCAGCCAAACAGCTCAGTCAGGACTGGCAGGCCAGGGGAAAAGATGTGCTCTGGGAGCTCCAGGGGAGACATGGCTGGATCTGACACCAAGCCAAGGAACAAGGAGCTGCAGCACCGGACGCTGGGACCAGATCAGGAAGCCCGGAAGGCAGTGCTCCCCAGGGATGGCTGGCGGCCAGCTGGGATGTAAAAGGAGGTAGGAAGTGACCCAGGGAAGCTCTCTGGAGACTGATGCAAGAAACCATGGGGTGAGCAAAGCCAAACCAGCCTCCCAGGGCCCTAGGTCGGAACCCTGCGGAGTGGGAGGGCCCAGGTTCCCCTCCCCCACTGAGAACTGAACCCACTAGGTGGGGCTGCCGCCCGTGAACTGAATCCACTAGGTGGGGTTGCTGCCTTCAAGAGCGACCCCCACTAGGTGAGATTTCCGCCAGAGGTGAACCATTGGGTGTAACTGCTGCCTTGGAATCTAACCGCTAGGCGGGAGACACTGCTTCCTGCTGATAGGGCCTCACAGGATCAGTCCCAACACTATTCAATATCTTTATGAATGACCCCAAAGAAAATATAAAATCAATGCTGATAACATTTGCTCGTTATTCGGGTGGTAAATAATGCTAAGGACAGGCCTGGATCACATGGCAAAGGGGCACAATAACACGACATGCATGTTAAGGTCCCAGTTCAGTCAAGCACTGAAGCACATCCTTAAACTTAAGCACATGAGCAATGCCATCCCCACTCAGCAAAGCATATAAGCATGGGCCTAAAGGTAAGTTTAGGCTTAGCCCCCGTTGCAGTCAATAGGAGAGGGATGGGATTTCAGTGCTTCATTTTCGGGTGCCCAACCTGAGTCACTCCAGCTCCACTAATTTCGTTTGGAGCTCTGGGTGCTCAATGTTTCCAGCAGGCCTGAGGCTCATGGTCACAGGCCATAGAAATTTGTTTACAGAAACACCCAGAGTCTGAACGTTTCTGGTTGTTCAGATTTCTTCAGTGGACACTAACCAGGAAACGGGAGAACTCTGACTCTGGGCGAGATTAACGAGGCCGGGGCACAGCAGCAGGAAAGGCTAGATGGGATGGGGTGACTGAATAAACGCCAAGGCCTGGCCAGCTCGGTGCTACGGCAGACTGAGAGTGAATTACACGCCAAATAAGGTGGAGACAGAGACTTACCAGTTCTAGGAACACTTTTCTCTCAGAGTCAAGCGATCGGACCCGACTGCGCAATGCTAGAATTTCCTTGTCCAGTCTGTTGTTGTGTTCCATGGCCTTCTGCAGCTCAGTCCTATCTAAACTCCAGCAAGTGACAGGAAAACACTTAGACAACACATGGCCAGGTGGCAGTGGATTCAAGGCTGCCCTATCCCTGGCCCTTGCTGTGCATCTGAGCTCAGGGTTTGGCACAGGAGGGCATCACATGAGTATGGACCCCTGGAATATACTAACTTTGGGTGTGTGATGCTGTCCTGTAGTGGCTGGTTCACAAAGCATAAGGGAGCCATTAATCAGGTCAAGGAGCTCTCTTTATCTTAGCTCAAATGGCAGAGGCTTCTGATTTTGGAGCTTTAGGATCAGGGTTCCAGTCCAAGATCTGCTAGTGTGTGGTTTATTATGGAAGCATGTTCACCTTTCCTTAGTCAGGGCTGAGCTTGATCTCACTGGTAGCACAACACAAAATCTAAATGTTTTCAACTCTTTAAGGACAGGTCTCAGTGACAACCAGAACATATTCTGAAAATACTGAGTAAACTGAGCAACTACTTTTTTAGATTTAAAACTGACTCCTTTTAGAAATTTCTGCCAAGTGTCTAATATTAATCTGTGCACTTCTATCCACCCAGCAAAATCACAATACACCTACCAATTTGAAACCCAGGTAGATTTGGAGATTGGTGTATGCAAGGGGCCATTTTTCTTAAAAGGCAAGAACAGTAAAATGTCTAGGAAATAGCCATAGTTTGAAAATTAGACGTGGTTATCCCCTAGTGAAGCTGTGAGAATATTCCATTCTCTGGAACTAGCTGGACTACTTTTTAAACCCAGAAAGAAATGCCAAGGTGTATGAATGAAGGTCCCCCATGGTTGCAGAAGTCAGGGTAGGGGGGCAGCCTGGTGTGTTTGCAGGGAGTAGTCTGGGGTAGAGGGGGTGGGAGAGTTGGCATCACTTTGGAGTTGTGGATATTTAGCCTATACTCCTGACCTTGTGGGGGTGCAGAATTCATATGGCCGGCATATTTCTGTGCACCGCGCACCGAAAAATGCAAAAGAAATCAGCAGGGGGACACTCGCCTCTTCCCTGGCAGCCCAGGTAGCGCATCTGTTCCAGCGTGCCTGGAGCAGCTTCAGAGACACAAATCACTGGGGGGGAGGGGGGCTGGGCATATGTGCCTGCAGGGGAGACGTTTATCACCATCGGGGGCAGGGCTGGGCGTGGGTGCCTGCCAACAAGCGAGAGAAACTCTGTCCCTCTTGCTTGTTACTGCAGTCTGCCGGGGGCATGGAGGATAGGTCTTTTTATTATGCACGAGGAAGGCTCTGCCTCGGAGGCAGAAATGTAGCAGCCTGCCTGCGTAGTAGCATTGTTAATGTTCCTATTGTTAGTTAACTGTTCCCATTGTCAGTCAGTTCCTCCAGGGGCACAAAACCTGTAAAAGTTTTAAGGCCCCTACATTGCCAGTGATGTCAAGCCTTATAAATGACACTAAGGGAATCAGCTAGGAAGATCTATTCGCTTTCTCACTTTTTTCCTGTGCCAAAGTGGCACAATGGGGTACAGCTCAGGATTTATTTTACTTACCCATTATAAAAAAAAATACTTTGAGGGCAAATAAAACAGACCAAGCCGTTAATAAAATGTCAGGACAATCAGAAGCAAACACTTCCCAAAGTACCCAGCCAGGTCCAGGACAATGATTAGCAAAACCGTATGACTTTCATGTGTGAAAGTCACAGCAATTAAAAATGACATTCTACTTCTTTTTTTTTTTTTTT